AAAAATAGTATTTTTTTTTTTTTTAATTTCAAATAATCAAATATAGTTTTTAAAATTAAATTTTATTTTTTAATAGCATTAAGTGCCTACAATTTTCTTTAGTTTTTTAATTATATACATATATATTATTATGTTTAACTAATTTATATTTTATCTTGCTATCTTTTCAGGTAAGCAACAAATGACATTTGCTCCAGTGTGCAAGTCCAATCAGTAAAAGCGAACGAAACGCGACGCCGGCGCTGCTGCCATTGCTGCTGCCGCTGCTTTTGCAACTGCCGCAGTCGCTCGTTATGTGTGCCAGGCAAAAGGCCAAACGCATGTGTGCTCAGTCGACCCTGTCAACCAGCCCCACATGCTCCCAACTCACACCGCCTCCGCCTTCGCCTCCCCTACTACATGCTGTGCACTACTGTACATAGGCACGATGAGCGAACGAGCGGCATTATTGGGAGAGCAGACGGGTGCGAGCGAGTGAGCGAATGACGAGCCTATACATAAAATGGCGTTGCATATGAGGAGAAAAACTCAATGCAATTGTGTGAGTGACCACCTCGTTGCGTGCGTATGTAGATGTGTGTGAGTGTGTATGCGTGCGTATGTGTGCATGTGTGTGTGTGAGCCTACGCAACGGTAGCTTTTTCATTTTAGCTGCTGCTGCTGCTGCTGCTTTGGCTGCACCTCAAAAGCAAAACGCATTGAATGCGTATCGAGTCCAAGTCGAATGTTGATTGTATTATATTGCCAGAGAGCTTGCTCCATCTCGTTCTAGCTAGTTCTCCCTATCTCTGTCACTCTCTCTCTCCTACTCTGTGTGCATGCACTTAAAAGCTCGTCCAGCCGCTGCAGGCTATAACCAATACACACACACACACACACATGCAAACATGCAGCAAATTGAATAAACTCCCAAAATCAAATTTTTCACCACTTTTGCTGAACTGACGTGAACGGCAGCTGCTCGCTGCACACACACACACACACACACACAACAAACTCTCTGAGTGTGTGTGTGTCCATCTTTGCCATTTAAAGGGTCAATGAAATGCAAACGCTATACCATTTTCTCTCATCCACGTCGCAACGTTGATGTCCATGTCATTGTCCGTGTCCAAGTCGGGGTCCTCGTCCTTCATTGATTGCCTAGCCGTTTTTAGTTTTTGGCTGAGCGCCCTTGCAAATCAATTGAAAAACGTTTTCGTTGCTCTATGCTAGGACCCAGTTTTGTTCATATTTATTGTGGCATTGCTTCGGCTAGTATTTATTGGCTTTGATTTAGTTGCTAAAATATTGTATATTGGGCCTTCATGTTGGCGAACTGGCGAGCTGCCAGTTCTTATTGACCAGCAAACATTTCATTTTATATGCTTGACTTTGATTGGGCTTTACTTTCCATATGTAACGATGTCAATTATGGGCACTTTTTGCAATGCTAGGCAATTGTTTAGAGCAATAAATGGAAATCAATAGAAATTGTTCTGCTTTTCGCTTACGGATCTTGGAGGCTTGCAGAATTCGTTTGAATATGTTGCACAATTGCCAAGAGATTAAAGTAAATTGAAATGCAATAAATATTTAACATAGTTTTGATATATGTAGTTGTATCGTTTAGGTCATCTATAGGATTAGCTGTGCTTTAATATGCTTTACCTAACGGTAGTAGTAGCAAAAATTGCATAATGAAATCTGCTCAAACAAAAAACAGAATAGAAGAAAGTTATTTATAAATAAAGTCTGCTTGAAGATATATATAGATTGCTTCTACTACAAAACTACTTCGTCTAGATTTTTGCAGCCCTTCAAAGTATGCAATAAAAATATAATTCGCACATCTGCAAAATATATTAATTTTATAGCATAATTAATTTACATAGACAACTATCTCTATATATATTTC